CACACACACACACACCCACCTCTCCAGCCCTCAGCGTTGAGCTTGAGACTCTCAAACGAGTCGTCAAAGTGTGGTGCCGTGGGCTCGTCGTCTGGGTCGTGGTAGCTCACGATGTACGGGTGTTTGAACGCCTCGTCCACCGAGATCCGCGTGTCGGGGTCAAGGTCAAGCATCTTCTCCAGAAGGTCAATAGCTGGTCACAGACAGAGGTCACGTCATTTCAATTATGATGAAAATCATAATGAAAATTATAATAATAGTAATGATTAATAATATCTGTGAAACTTAAAACAATGGGAGAGAAGGCATTTGAATATCAAGGCCCCCGATCTGGAATGCTTTGCCAAGTACTTTAAAGAGAGATCAAATCTTTTGATTCATTCAAATATCAGCTGAAGTCATTTCTGTTTTTAAATTAATAAGATAAATATTTGGAGTTATTTTCATTTAGTCAGAAAACAACGTTTTATATTACTGTTGTACGTTGTGCTGTATTGTAAAGCACTCAGAGCCTGTGTACTTAAATCGGGGTTGAGCGCTATATAAATGTCATCTATTATAACAATGATTATTATTATTATTACAATTATTATGAATTTGTTCATGTGGAACTGACATTGACCAAGTCAAGCACTAATTGACACTGTAGAACACATGCACTCACCTAGGTGGTTAGCTCCAGAGAAGTAGGAACGGTAATCTTTTTTCTTGAAGTTGGGAAGAGACCGAATGTAGTTTTGAGCCTGGGGAAAGAAGCATGCAGAAAACTTCAACCCTTTGAACAAGACTAGATCTAGATAGATGATTCTTTTTTTTATTTGGAGTAAAGTTTGAGTAAAGCCGGGGGGGGGGGGGGATAGACAGACAAGACAGGAACAACAGGCAAAAGAAGTAGAAGAAGAAGAAGAATAGACAGCATTTGTATAGTGCAAATCCCCGCTCAACAGCAGGCTTTATGCCCTTCACAATCTATACTATTACCCCAGCAGACCTGAGAGCAATCTGAAACAACCTCAACTTCCTAGGAAGCATACAGTGCAAGCAGCCATTTACAGGCGCTAAAACACTAACATACTGACAAGATCTTTCGCTGTCTATGGCCGGGTACCCATTCCCACCTGGGTGAAGTGAGGAAAATCTGTGTAAAGTGCCTTTCCCAAGGACACAACACCGGGCCCGCGGCTCGAACCCCCGAACCCGTAACCTCACGATTACGAGTCCGGTAGCCTATCCACTAGACCACCGACAACCTCACGATTACGAGTCCGGTAGCCTAACCACTAGACCACCGACAACCTCACGGTTACGAGTCCGGTAGCCTTACCACTAGACCACCAACTAGCTGTGATCCCAGTAAGCAACATTTGTCATCATGACACTTAGTCAAATAATAGAACAGGATTTGAGCAAATCCTTTTCAATCAAAATTAAGAAACGATCTATATTTCACTAATTTAAAAACATTGTGTGATAAGAAAAAGGCTCTGATCTAATCTGTGTTAACGACATCTCAAAAACATCTTCTTCATCTGTCACGTTTTTTTGAAGCAACAAAACTTTTTAATTTGGTTAGAAAGAGTTTTATGGCACTTGTGACACAAATATGTCATTGTCATATAAGTGCCAAAGATTAAAGTGTTCATAGACAAGAGAGTAATTGTAGTCTATTTGGTTGTTAACTTTGCAATCTGGCGTGTTGGTCAGTGGCAGTGGGTTAGGCCTAGCCTATTGTATTGTTTGGCTGAAAGTTTGAGAGTGAGTAAAGTGTGAGTCTCAGTTGAGTTGTATTGTTTGCATGAGTATAAAAGCAGTCTGGATTACTACAGGTGAGACTTTAGAGGGGAGAGCTGTAGCTAGGCATAGGAGGCCTGCTGAGAGTTCGGGTGGAGAAAAGGCTAGTTAGAGCCTCGGTTTATTTCTGTGTTGCGTGTGAGATTCCAACAAACCGCGGCCCCATTGGTGAGGAAAGGATCACCATCCGGAGATAAACAGGTTTGGCTAACCCCTGTTGTAAACGCAGGCGCAGACCAAGTAACAACAGTAACATACAAAGAAAACAAAGTAGGAAAGATCAGGACAATAGTTGTTGTTACAGGAAAGAAGGAGTAAACTATTCGAATAAGTGTCATGATGATAAATTTTCCTAACTGAAGCCACAGCTAGTTGGTGAAAGCACGAATTCAGTACAAAATAATTGTTCTTTGTTTTAAGTGCGTCAACAACATTGCACCATCATATCTTTGTGACATGGTCATCGAATATATACCCATCTCGGCCTTTAAGATCAACTGTATCAAAATTTAAATCAGCACTTAAAACGCATTTGTTTCAGTCCAGCTTCAACCTGTAATTTCCGACATTCCCAATACAAAGAGTATTATGTTCTCTCAGTATCTTTTATGTTCTCAAGGATGTACTGGAGAGAGGAAGAGAGAGGGAGGGAGAGAGGAAGAGAGAGGGAGGGA